TTCCATTCTATATCCCCCTTCAAACATGCTTTTTCTTATTAATTCTTTATTTGGATCTTATCGACTAGCCCAAAATTTATCGGCGTCTCTTGTATCTACTTTCAAAGATCTTATAATTTTATTATTTACTTCATCTTCTGCGAAAAACTTTTCCAAACTACTAGTTCTGGGTTCTATTTCTTCATTTTTTGTTTCCTATACAAACAACCTTGATAAAATATCTAGTGAACAATTTAGTCTACCTGCTCTGAACCTTATTTCAAAATCGAAGCTATCTACCACCAATATTAAACATTTTTCAGCCATGGTGAAATCATTAATTCTTTATTGTCCTTTTTAAACAAATAAACAACGGTTTGTGATCCATGTATAATAAAAGGTTTCTTCCAATCAGATATTCTTTGCACCTGGGTAATCCAAGCTTAACTGCTAAGGCTTTCTTTTCAATTGTTGAATTATTTCTTTCAGCGCTAGCGTCTAGAAAAATAAGATCGGTTTCTCAACATTATTCATCGTTTGCAATATAGCTCCATCTATACCTTCATTAGATGCATACACTGTTAATATAATATCTAAATCCTCTTTAAAACAATTCAGAATAGGTTTATCTACCATTCTTATATTAAACATTTCAAAACTTTATCTTGTTCTTTTTCCCATTCAAGTCTTATATTTTTCTTTAACAACTTATGGTGTAGATATCTCCTCAAAATTTGGTATAAACCGAGGATAATAATTTGTAGCTCCTAAAAAGCTTGTAATTCCGTCTTATTACTCGGATGCTCATAATCCTATCTATATTCTTTGAAATGGGATACATCTCCTTTTATTACATGTTCTAAGTATGTTTCTTCCTTTACTCCAAAAACATTTTTTTCATATTAGCTCTCAGATATTTTCTAAAATTATATCCAACTTTAATTAATCTCTTTTTATGCTCTTATTCTGTTCTACCTGATATCAGTCTTGTGATTACATTATTTTGATTTGCACTTATTTAAAATCTTTTGTATGTAAATTTGAATATTTACGGATAATAGTTTTTTTATATAAAATTGAATATTTAGAGTTCATGTAAAATTTGAATATGTATATTGTTAATAATACGAGTATTATATTATAGAAAGAAAAGAAATTTGGTTCCTAATCTCCCAAACCAAATTCTCCCAACTGTGACAATGGTGCTGGAGAGAGGATTGGTTCCAAAGACAAATGAAATCAGGTTCTCCTATTCAGTCTAGTACAAATCATTGAATAAAATTGAACAAGGAGAAGTGTCAAACTGTATTCTAATACAAAAAAAAATTCCAGAAGAACGTAAGAAAAAAAATTTAAATAAAAGTAGGAAAAATATTTAGAGAAATAAGTATTTTAAAAAGAAGAAAAAATTATCTGTTAAAATAATTTAGATTTATTTTTAATGATGTAAGTTGAAAAAGAAAAATTATTTTACGATAGCTCATTTAAATTTTGAAGTAATTTTTGTAAATATTGATAAGATTATGTTACAAAATTATGTAGGAATATAATATCTAAAATTAAAAACAAGAATTATAGGTAGAATTCATAGTAGATAAGATATAAAGAAGCTTGTGTTTTAGTTATCTAAAGGTGATAAATTATTTAATAGAAGTTACTGGTAAACTTAGAAACCAACGGAATCAAATTTGGACTATAAGATATTTTAGATTTTAGTATTATTATAAGTTATTAGATAATTGATCACTAAACTATGACAAAGAAGAAGAAACATAAATTGTGAATATTAAAATTAAACAAATAGTTTGCTAAGATATGATAATTTAAAAAATTCGGTGAATAAGATTAGAGACTAAGACGAATATGAAAATAGTTGATGTTGTAATTAAATTCTTTTTATTTTTATTTTAAGGACTGTTAGGGATAAAACAGCCTCAAAGATTTGATATGTGAATGTAGTATTATATTAGGTTGTTGATTAACCAAAAATCTTCATAAAGAGAAACGGCTTTCGTCATTAGAAAATTTATGCCGCAATCGAGCTCATTTAGAGATCGGATTTTTTTTTTGAATCATTAATAAGATTTTAAGTCAAAGGCAACGTTATTCTAATAATAGTAAAAAGAAAAACAAGAGGAGAATAGGGAAATACTAAAAAAGAAATGATAAGATTTATTATAAATTATTTTAATCGGGTTTTAGATATAATAAAATATCGTGCAGAATGAAGAAATAATTTTTTTTTAAATAATGATATGAATACGAAATACTTCGGTACAAGAGTGTAAAATGTAAAAAAAAAGTAGGAGAATTTAAGATGTTTTAGAAGAATTTTAGCGTAAAATAATTATATATAATGGTAAAATAAAAAGTACGTTTTTTTTAAACAAGTTGTGCAGAATTAGAGAATCATAATTTATGTTTTAAAATTGATGATAGACATAATTGTGAGAATCATAATTTCTAAAGGAACAAATTGATGATAGACACAATTATGGATGATAGACATAATTATGAGAATCATAATTTCAGATAGAATAAAATTGATGATAGACATAATTGATTTGTTTTTTAACAAGTATGCGAGAGTTATGAGAATCATAATTTTGGTGTGTTGAGAAACAACGAGACTGCGAGAAGATAAGTCAGTTGGTTTTTAACAACGAGAGTGAATGAAAAAGAATAAAAAAGATAATTATTCCAGTTGTTTTTGAACAATGGGCGTGAACTACATAAAGAAGAAAAGAAATAAAGATTTTATTTTCCTTTAAAGAACAGGCGTGTACCACAAGAAGACAAGATTTTTTGAATAAAAATTTAGAACTAAGATTTTATTTAGCAGATATTCAAGAGAATTTTAGATTCAGCTTTATTGGTTGACAAAAGATGTGGATTGTTAGCTAAAAGACAACTACCGGCATAGGACTCAATGAAGATATGGGTCTTGGCTTTATTTAGGGTAAAGGGGTTGTAGAATTTGATATAAATAAATATTTATTTAGCATATTTTAACTATATATTATTATTTTAAGATTTAATTTAGAGAAAAGAGGGAGTAAATATTTCGAAGTTAAGAAATTTAATAGATTATGTAAGGAAGAATTAGAATAGAGGCTATAACCTTATACATTAAGGCTGCTTTCATAGTGGAGACGGATCCGATTTTTACATCCGTTCCGTCAAAAGTCAATCTCATTAAAAATGATATATACGTTCATAGTGCGTCCGTTCCGATACCTTCCGTCTTGAAACGGATCCGGCAAATTTTGAAGTCAAAACATTTTGACTTTTTGATCCGGGAAATTTTATAAAGCGTTATAACGTTACTTATAATTTTTTTATAGTTATAAATTATGGATAAATCTAGGTTTACAATTTGGTGAATCAGGTATTAAAACTTTATAAATATAACATAGAATTTTTTAAATAGTTAGGTGATGAGTTAAATTTTGCTCTTCCATTCGTCTTCTCTATTTGTAACATACCTTGTTAAAAAACTGAGCTTATTTATCATAACTAAATAGAATTTTATTTTAATTCTAATATTCAAACATCATAATACATATATACATTAAACTAATAGAATTTTTTGAATTAATTATAATAGCATTTTATCATAACTATTCCATTTATCTTCTCTTTTACTCTACCTTGTTAAAAATAACTAAATATAATTTTTTATTTCTAATAATTTAGCTTGTTCATGTTAAAAATGAAAATTAATGTGTTAGATTTAATTGAAGCTGTAAGAGGATCTAAATTTATATATGATAAATTTGATGAAAGTTACAAGGATTCACGCAAAAAATCAGAATTTTGGATAAATTTAGACCTACAATTTGGTGAATCAGGTATTAAAACTTTATAAATATAACATAAATTTTTTTGAATATATTTTATTAATTAAATTGAACACTTTCAATAATTATATATATATTTAGAATTGATCAAACAATATGATCATTCATTACCTCTGTTTTATATTTTTTAGGTGATGAGTTAAATTTATTGTATTAATATATCTCATCTAAGTATTAAGATAAAAAGATTAAGCTTACTATTTAATTCTTAAATTTGGTATTACAATGTTAATCAATATCTTTGAAAAATTATTTAGGAGCAAACTTAATTTTTTTAATTAAATTAAATACTATCAATAATTGAGCAAACAATATGATCATTCATTACCTCTGTTTTATATTTTTAGGTGATTTTGCTAAATTTATTGTATTAATATATCTCATCTAAGTATTTAGATAAAAAGATTAAGCTTACTATTTAATTCTTAAATTTGGTATTACAATGTTAATCAATATCTTTGAAAAATTATTTAGGAGCAAACTTAATTTTTTAAATTAAATTAAATACTATCAATAATTGAGCAAACAATATGATCATTCATTACCTCTGTTTTATATTTTATGGTGATTTTGCTAAATTTATAGATGAAGAATTGTCATCTTTACCACAGGATCACAAAGATAAAGTGAAAATGAACATTATTCAAATGATTTTTTTATATAAAAGTCAATTAAAAAAATAAATTATATATTTTTTAATATATATTTTTAAATAAATATATTATAATTGTTAAACATATTATAATTTTTTTATTACAAAATAATAAATATTTGCTTTGTGCTTTTTAAACTTAGCCTGACCTATAATTATATCATTTTAAGTACCATATCAGGAAAGGTCTGATAAAAATAAATTTGATTAGTCAAGGCTTACTAAGTAGGTAAGATATTTACACTCAGGATCCTTTTCTTATATAAGCTTCTTTAAAAAAATGTCACATTCAAAAATCAGTAGTAATACAGACCTCAGTATCAATTTCTAATAAATCTTATTACCCATTCACCAAGTATTTAAATTTAATAAAATAGCTGATAATATTTATTTACATGTATAAAATTTTTTTAAGAATATATTAAACAAAAACATGGGAAATTGGTACAAAATAATTATTTTATGAACAAGTTCTTGTATTTTTATAAAAAGAAAATATATACCAAAAAAATATAAAGAAATTTAATACATATAAAATCAAAATATTGAAAAAATAAATATTAATTTAATATATTAGTTTGCCAGGGCAAATGTCTATTATTAAAATAATTGCTAAATAAGTTTCTTATATTTTTATTTTTATCAGAACTATTTTTAATACTCTGTTGGTTCCATAAAGGATAATTTGAACCAACAAGATCAAAACTTATTATATTTAAATTTTCTTTCATTTTGGCTTCCATAAGTGCCAACATCTATAACCATAAATTTGCCATTATGATCCACCAATGCTTGAAGGATTATTGAAAATCCATGCTTGTAATTATAAAATTGGGTTCAAGAATATGGAGACTTTTTTGTTTTACAATGTTTCCCATCAATGGCACCTTATAAAATATTAACATAATAATATAGTATGAAATAATAAAATAAAAAATATAATTATCTTTTGTTTGATATAAATAAAATTAAACCTATACAGTTTGGGAAGTTCCACCTTTCATCAAAGCCCTTAGCAACTCCTCAAACATCTCCAATGTTGGGACCTTCATATGGATGGGTTGAATAATATCCCATATAGCTTTTGTATTTTCTCCTATTATTAGTTTTATAGTTGATACCCCAAGTTTATGAGAATATGACAAGGTGACATATGAATTACCAGTTGCTAGGTATCTAGATCAAATGAAGTATCAAGAAATTAGCATAAAAATGATTTTTAAATGCCTAATTATTATAATTAACTCATTATTAAATGTTATATTAATTATTGTAAATATTCATTCTTATTATATGTAATATTAGGGTTATATCTCAATATTAATTATAAAATTAATTTAATATATATATATAATAAACTAATTTTAATAAATTTATAGTTTTCTTTTTTGTAATTTTATTTTTAATAAGATCTATTTTTTAAAGTGAAAATACTATATATAAAAATATACTCACTTTTTTCATACGCATGTAATTATAAAACTTGAGGTCATCTATAAGTAATTTTGGCAGCAAAGTAAAATATACTCCCTCCTTCCTCCTTTTCGAATTAACTATATTTTTTTCTTTCTTGAATAAGAGATCATATATCATATATAATTTAAATAAAGAATATTGGTTCATTTTAAAAAATAAAATAATGTCTAATCTGTTTTAAGTTGAAACGTTAAAAAAAAATCATTATGAAAGCCTTGTCGGACGCCGTCAAATCAGATGTTTTGACGTGAAATCGGATCCGTCTCCACTATGAAAGCAGCCTAAGACGAAAATTGGACTATGTATTTAAATTTGAGAATGAATGTAAAGAAAGGGTGATTATGAAGTTATAAAGGGTTTAATAGATTATTTTCGGTAGAAGTAGATGATTGATTACACGATACCTTAAGACAAAGATCAAATAAGAATAAAGAGATCTTAAGACATAGTCGATATCTTGGCAAGCGCAAACTGTCGTTGAAGACACGGAAATCTAAAAGATCGATACGGTTACAAGAATTAAATTAAAGAACAAATCAATTACAAGAGAACGTTGGAAACAAGAAACTAGATAGAACAGATGTTCGAGACGTTCATGCTGCAATCGTTAATCATTTACCAATATCGCCAATTGTTTACAGAAACTTTAGTCTAAGATACGGAAGTTGATCGCAGATCAAGCATCGCCATTCGTTTACCAAATTAAAGCGCTAATCATTTATTACAAGAGAATCGTAGAAACAAATGACTAGCTAGGATAAATTATAAAGAAGTTCAGATGGTTAATAGAAAAAACAAAAGTTGAAAAGAGATAGAATTTATCGATAATCGTTTACAAGCAATCGTAATCAATTACCCGTTATAGTCAATTACCTCGATAAAGAGTTATTAGTATTAAAACGGGCGTTAGAAGAAACAAAGATTGTAAAGAAAGAATAGTATCAATCAATAATTGGTAACTAACTATCGTGAATCGCTGAAAACATATGTTAATGGAGTTCATCATTTGCCTATAGAGATAAAGAGCTAATCGTTTACCAAGAGTTGACAAGCAACAGAAGATAGAAATCAAGAATTTCAAGTTGTAATCGGATACAAACGATCTTAGAATCTAAGAATACTAGATAAGGGATAGCCGTAGTTAGAAATTAGAAGACATTAAAGATTAAGAAGAATCGATTTGGTGAAGATACAAGATCAGTAAAGTCGAAATCGAAAGAAGGTTGGTCATAATGATGGGATCTAACTTAAGTGGAAGGGTGTTGTGATTGCATTATTTTGATTTGCACTTATTTAAAATTTTAAGTATATAAATTTGAATATTTATGGCAAATAGTTTTTTTATATAAAATTGAATATTTAAAGTTCATGTAAAATTTGAATATTTATATTGTTAATAATACGAGTATTATATTATAGAAAGAAAAGATATTTGGTTCCTAATCTCCCAAACCAAATTCTCCCAACTGTGACAATCAGCATGATAAATAATACATGGTACCACTTATTCCTTGGAACATAACAGCCATCTATGCGTATAGAGGTTTGTTTGCATTCTGCCAATTTCCTTTTGGGTTGAAAGTATCGGCTCCAATATTTCAAATAATATCTTACTTGCTTTCTCACTTACCTTAATTTGTGAGTAGGCATTAGAATCTCTTTTCGAAAAAATTGTTGCTCTTTTTAAATTAGCCAATAATTGCCCTATTCTAGGTAACGGATATCTCACATTCGTTATCTAATTATTTACAGATACCCTATAATCTATGCATAGTCTTAAACTGTTATCCTGTTCTTATAGGAACCAATGGTGTCACCCATACACTAGGAACTTTTGGTCTTATTATACCTTCTTTCAGCAATTTGTCTAGTTCTTTATCTATTTTTTCTATCCAAGAAAATAATAATCTTCTTGTGCTACAAAATTTAGGCAGGTAATTTTCCTCTAATCGTATATCTACCTCAAAATCTTATAGAGACCTAATTCTTCTTTAAAAATATTATTTTACCTATTCAATATGTTCTTTATTTCCTTGCTGAAATTATCCTCAACAAAATCAAGTTCTACCTTATTCTTAATTCCTTGTCGTTTGACTTCAACTGAAGTTACCTCTATTGACTTTATATCTTTTGATAAATTATTCTTTCTATGTTATTTTTTATCTAATCAAAAATTCTGGTGTTCGATTCTCAGTTTATCGAAAACGAAATCCTGTTTAACTCCTAAACTAGGTAACACAGTCTTATCCATATGCTCCCTTTGTGTTATTTCTCCAGTTACAATATTGTTCTCACGGACGGTTTCAAACAAAGACCCACCAATTATAATTAGGACCTATATTCTTAATGTTATTCCAACTTATTATCGGCTTTAGTTTTAATGTTGTAATCCATAACATTATCTCATTATTTATATCTAACAACTTTATCACATAAAAACCTAACATCTTAACTATACTACCGTCTAATTGTCTAGCTCTCATTCTTCTTGCTATAAAATTTTCTTATGGAAATCATTAATAAAATCCTTTTCACTCATTAAACTAATCCTGCTCCTCTGCTCCTGTATTTAATAAAAAGAATGTTTCACTTTCTCCCATTCCTATCTTAATCCCCGGGCATTTACTTCTCTCTATTAACTTTTCTAATACAATTCCACACACAATTTCTGTTTCAATTTCTCTTCTAATAATTTATCTTTATTTACATACTTTAATCAATTATAACTGTTTCATTTATACCTAAATTCTTATTATAATTAAGCAAATAATACAAACTATTAATTTTATTATTTATAACATTATTCTTAATCTTATTTAGTCATTTATTACATTTCTCTTATGAATGCCCTCCTTGTCCTCATTTAGAACATCACAAACCAATGTAAAAAAACCTCTACAATTCATATCTATGTGTCCATTACCTCCATATTTCGCGCACTTAAGCAACCTTGTTAGCTCACATTATCGCGACATGTGTCCATGTTGACCACAACTAAAACAAATCATTTGTCTGTAATTATCTATCAGTTTTATCTTACCTTCTCCTCTTATATCACTCTTAATTCTAATTCTCTATTTCAATTCTTATATACGCAGTATTTCTTCCTATTGTTAATCCTATTACAAAACTTACAATAATCAACGAAAGTAAAAATATCCCTATGTTATCAAGTAATAAACTCCACAATTTATCTGCGTGATATACATTATAATGTGTTCAATAAAAATCTAATTACAAATAGTTTAAATACTCTCACAACATTAATTGAATATAAAAAACGAATTAATAAACTTGACACTAATATATAAAATGAATCCTGGAAAAAAAATCCTTGGAAATAAACCCAGGAAACCCCAGGATAAAAACCCTAGAACACCCAGGAAAAAAATCCCCGGATTTTTTTTCATATTTATAGGATTTACTTAAGACCTAATAATATAGGTATGTTTTTATTTGGATTATAATGGATATACTCATATTTATAATGTATAGACAAATTAGTATTTTAAATTTTTTTTTTAAAAATATAATATATTAATAAGCTAAATTTTTTTAGGCCCTAATTCATTATTTAAAGATTACTCATATACACTCCATAAAAAATGCTTAAACAAGATAAAATGCTGACGTTCAAATTGGTACTGGTAAAAAATACCCAAGAAAAATCCCATGTATTTCTTATTTTCGTAAAAATTATTTGCTATAGTAATATATACAATATCCATCCTTAATTACGATATTAAGTAGACTAAATTTGACAAAATTTTGTAAAATATATTTATTTTATTGGTAAATCATGATTATGTATATAAAAATTTAATCATTTAGAAAAAAAATTATTTCATCAAATATCAATTAAAATAATGAATCCAATAAATTTTCTTTCTTTTCACAATAATTAAAATTAATCCCTCAATTTCACAATAATTTTTCCCTAATAGCGAAATCAATTTTTTCTTTCTTTTAAAAATATATTCCGCGATAAAAATAAAATAATATAAAATATATCAATATTTTTAATCAATAATATTATTGATTGACAGTAGGTATAATTTTAAACATGATAACTATATATTGTAATTACTAAATACAACATGTCTGCCCCTAAAAAGGCCAAAGACATGTAATAATACAAAAAAAAAATATATGAATTTATGTAAATTTATCATCATCTTTCAACATAATATTTTCTTCTAACTCCATATCTTTTACTCCTTTGGTAATCTGCATACCATTATTCATTTCTATCTTTTCATTAAATTTCGTAGTCTTGACCACTTGCGATTTCACCCTCATAGCTTTAGAGTTGTAAGCTAATCCTCTAGAATACGAATATTTTACACTATTCAATGCTTTAGGATTTAATTTTGTCAGCGGTTTTAGTTTAGCTTGTACTGCACTTGTATAATGTACGGGCGGCCAAACTCTTTGATTATGGAACTTCTCTCTAGATTCCATTTCATTTATTGTGTTATGTTTCGGTACGTAGCCTCCGACGGTACCTTATTATTTTTTCACAAAAATAGCTTGAGGTTGGAACTTCCTCTGTATCACTTGGATAATCTTTGCATTCTTGATTCATCAACACATGAGTCGGAATTTGACAATCCTTGATCTGTTGTCCAAAACTCTGACATCTGAAACAGCGTTTGAAGATATCGAATTTAGGTCTTTTTATTCCTAATTTTTTTTTATTATTATTTTCACATAAATGATCTGTTCTGGTGTGTCTATTTTATAATTCATCACGATATATATATTTCTATATATTTCTTTTTTTTAAATAAATACTCTAATTTATTTTTTTTTTAAAAAAATTTTAACTTTGAAATTATCAAAAATAATTTATGAAATTTCTCCTTTAGAATAAAATTACTACTTATTAATTATTTTTTTAATAATTTTTCTCTTTTTAAATATATAATAATTTGCAAATTACCCCTATGTAATTCAAATTAAAATAAAAACAATTTTCACTAAAAACAACACTCATGTTATTTTCTTTTACAAAAATATGTTACTTTT